GCATCTCAGGAAAGAATGCCACCTACTGTGCAGGTCAGAGGATGAGAGAAATGTGGGCTTATAAGTGGCTCTGGCATTGAGAAGGCTCATGAAGAAATGGTTAGTTAGAAAAGTAATTAATATACTTGCTGCTTTGGATGTAGCTTTCCAAGATTGCAAATCGTCTTCCCCATGACGCAGAAGAAAAAAAAAATCACGAAAAATTGTAGAAGAGCCATTTGCTTCACCAAACAATGGGTTAAATCCATCAGAGAAGCAGCCGGAAAAAAACCCAGATCTGGTCTTTGGAATGCGGGTCTTTGTGTGGGGTTGTTCTTTTGACTTCTTTGGTGCAGAGTAAGGCACCAACTCGGAAAGTTCCTGGATGGTGGCATCAGATCGAAGCAGTTTGCTTTGAGTTAAGGCTGCCCCCCAAAAAAGCTTGGCATTAAGAAGCATTCCTAAGATGAGCAAGATGGTTTGGAAAACCTGAGGAGCATAAAGGTCAGGAAACAGCATCTGAGCTGACCCCTCGAGACACAGCAAAGTGGTCTAGGCTGGGGTGGGGGGTGGGGGTGGAGTCTAGGCTCTGCGTGCACGTGTGCGCGTGTCTGGTGATGGAGTAGGGAGGCTGGGGCTGGGGAATTGCAGGTGACTGGGCAGTAGGGCTGACGGGCATATGAAAAACTACTTCCATTTGACTTAATTCAGTAAATACTTATTCTTATCCTACTGATGCTTGCTCTGTTGGGCTGTCAAAAATATGAAAGACCCCAAAGAAACAATAGTCCAGTCAGGGTAATATGATATCCACACTCATAATTTTAATGCAAAGATTACAGAACGACATAAAGGAGTTAGAGCAGAGGTTTACAAAGGTACACAACTGAGAAAAAAAGTTCAGGAAAAGCTTCCTAAATGTCAAGCTATCGAATGCCGACCTATTAAGGCCATTACTTAAATAAGAGAGATGGGGCAGAATGGCCCCGGGGGAGAGAATGACAGGAACAAAGGTGCCCAAACACAGGCCTCCTGGCTTTTCTGGAGGGCTCCTTCCCGGGAAGGCAGCGGTGGGACTTGAGAGTGGGGTGGTATTCAATGAGGATACCTTAATAGCCTCCTCGTCATGTGGGGAGGTTTATGCTGCATAACTTGATAAGCTGTTGAAACTCACAGAAGCTTCTGGGATGAGAAGTTATTCTTAGAGCTATGCCTTAAGGGGGAAAATATGTCAAAAGTTAGAATAGTCTGAAGTGGGACCTGGCCCGAGAGGCACTTGGGCTGGTCTAACAGTCTACTTGAGAGGCACGATGGGCCGGGGTTAGAGCGAGGTGATGGGAACCGGCAGGTGATACCCAGTGGAAACCATTTACAGACAGAACACACAGATGTGCTGATTAGACTTGGGGACCTGGGAGAGAAGACACACTGGCTAACGTGGAGAACAGCAGCGCCAGTCGCAGAGATTCTGGGCAAGAGGGGCTGTGGGGAGGAGGGAGGTGGAAAGGGGGCCAGTGGGTGCCTGAGGGAGAGATATCCCAAGGGCAGAGAGAAATGGGGAGTGTGCTGGTGGGTACGGCTCATCCGCACAGGAACGGTGATGAGCTGTGGCCATCAAGGAGAGTCACCAGGGGAGAAGGAACAGGAAAAGGCAAAAGGCAAACTGCTGAAGACTCACGGGAGATATTTAGTGAAAACTTAAATTTCCCCAACTATGAACTTCTCAGAGAAGAGCGGCCCTAATATCCATTATTCTCCAAAACTCAACACTCAGTTGAAAAGAACAGATTTACCCACTTAAATACAAGTTTCTCAAAGAGGGACTATAAAAGTAATGCCTTTTAACACATTTGGCAACACGATAGCCTTTTCATAATGTTTACGTTGTATCTCAATGTTCTGTGACAGAGTCAAAGCTCTATGACAAAGTATTGTTCAAAGACAGCTGGCTTCTGCCTTTGATAATTATCTCTTTGTACCCCGTCTACCCCATCTGCCTTTCTAAGTAACAAAGACATCTAAAATAGAGCAATTCTATACACTGCCTTGTGGATGGGGACAGAACCCTGGCTTAGAGTCAGATAATCTGAATTTGTGCCCTGACTTTGCCAATGACTAACTATTCAATACATTCGACAAGTATTTAGAGAAGGTATACATCCTACAGGGAGAAGAGGTTGCAGAGTCAGTGTGTAAAGGAAAAACAACATTCATTCAAAATCACTCTGGACAAATCCCTTGGGAATATGCCATGTTAAGATGACATGGAGTCTCCATAACTCCAGCACGGCCAATTCTCCCTTTCATCTTGGTCCAGATCGCAGTTTCTTCTAATGAGTACCAGATGAAGAAGTTCGCTCGAGCTGAGGGGCGTGCTGTATCCTTAAGTCAAGTGAGCCATGGGAACTGAGACCCATGACAGGAATAATCAGAACCCATCTCACGCTTCCTCTGGACCCTAGACTAACTGGGTGCCATGCAGGGCAGAGTGCAGGGCTGAAATCACTTAAGCTTACCTACAATGCGTGTGTGTGTGTGTGTGTGTGAATGCAGCTGAGTTTGTGCAAGTTAAATATATAAAGCTGACTCCTGTTGCATTGAGCTTTGCTCCTGCAGCAGAGGTGGGGCTAGTTGTAAGAAAAACAGAAACTAGCAGGCGCTACCCTTGAACCTCAGTCCAAAAGGCCACTGGGAACACAAACACAGCAAGACTAGTAACAGTTACAAATGTGATACAGGAGGAGCAAGTATGCAGGAATGAGCATTAGGAAAGGCTTTTTAGAGAACAGGACTCTAAGTTGAAACTTAAAACAAGAGCATGTGTCTTTCAAATGAGGGCAAGAGAGGAAGAGCCTTCCAGAGCATTCGGGCAGTGGGACCAGCAAGAGTCAAGGTCAGGAAGGTGGAAGTGGCCCACTGGCCCACTTGGGACCCACAAGTGGTCTAGTATACATGGAGTGCAGTAGGGATGGGCACATAGCAAAACAAGGTGCTAGAAAGTCCAAGGGGCCAGAATGAGCTCCCGGTGCCCAGGGGAGGGGCTGGGATGTCACACTGGAGGTGGTGGGCAGCCATAGGCTTCTAAGAAGGAGAGAGATGAGATTATGTGAGCAAGGTGCATGTTTATGAAGGTCATCCTGTCAGTGCAGAGAATGGGTTAAAGCAGGCTGAGAAGGGAGTCACGGAAAGTAGTTAGAAAGAAATTAGACTATTGTAGTAGAGAGATAAGACAGATGGATCGTGGCACCAAATGGAGAGGAGGCTAATAGGCAGCTGCAGCTTAATGGCCGTTACTCTGAACTCAGCCCCACGCCAAGCACCTGCACACACTGCTGCTCCTTAAGGCCACCAGTAACCCTCTGCACATGGTGCTGCTGGGTCATGCCACCCCCATGGCCTTCACACCAGGGTCTTGCCCACCTCTCGCCAGGTCCAGCCCTCACCCTTGCTCACACTGGCTGCTTTTCAGGCCCCTGATCACACAGAGCTCCTGTTCACCTCTGAACCTTTGCAAGCCCCAGTCCCTCTACCGGGCCCTGCTTTCCCAAGTGCGTGGCTGGCCTATCCTCATTTTGGAGGTGTAGCTCATGGGCTGCTTTTGCCAAGCAGTCTTCCTTGAATCACCCCATTTAAGGCAGGTCCCCTCTTACACCAGCCTGCATTTCTTTCACAGCACTCAGCAGACTCTCTAATTGTCTTTTCTGTCCACTTTGCATCATCTGTCTCCCACTTCTAGAATATACACCCCATGAGAGTAGGGCCCTTATCTGTCTTGTTAATTGCTATATCCCAGTAGCTAGGGCAGTGTCTAGGCACTCAATAAATATTTGTTGAATGCATATCCACTTTGTAGATGCAGAAAATAACAACAGCACCAATAATAAAAATGAAAACTTAAAATATGTGTCAGGCACTGGTCCAATTCATTTAAGCTTCACACATTTGCTATAAGTAATATTATTTCCCCCATTTCGTAGATGGGAAAACTGAGGCCCCCTAACTCTAGGTAACTTGTCTAAGGTCATACAACCTGTAAATGGCAGAGCAGAGATCTAAATTCAGGCAGCCTGGCTCCAGGGTCCCGACCTCTGTGCTACACTCGTACTCAGAGAAGGGGCTTTACAGGAGCCAGCCATGTGGCTGCTGACAGAGGAGCTAGGTGCCCAGCCTGGTTCTCTCTGCCTCTGGAGCCAAGCTAAACTGGCAGGTATGAGGTGGCGAGAGCTCAGGAGGCAGCTCGGTGTCAGTCTGCACTAACAGAAGACGGGTGTTGAATTCGGGGCACAAAAGGAGGTCACAGGTCGGGTTCTGAGCGTGTAGGATCTGAGGTGCCCATCACACACACTCTCCCTTCATTGGGAGCAGGGAGTATTACTCAACCTCTCTGATCCCATGTCCACATCTATAAAATGTGGATTTAAACACTGACCGGACAGGATTCTTGTGAAGATTAAACTGAGATAACACAGGCCTGAAGGCAGATGTTCAGTAAACACTAGTTCCCTCGTCTGTCCTGCACCTTCTGCTCACATGACCAGGCCGCAGGCCCCAGGAGAATGGGCTCAGGAACAAGACAGAAAATTCTTAGGTGGGTCCAGTTACATAATTGTTCCATAAGCATAATAAGACTTAGAATTAGCTAGGTTTCATCTTCTGAACACTTGCAATTATTGTAAAAATTTCATAAAGAATTCATAAAATCAGGTCCAATTTAATCTAAATATATAACATAAGCCTTACCTCTCCTCTCCTCCCCTTACATATTTTCTTCTTATTCTTATTTCTTGCTAGGTACATCCCAGATTTGTTTTTGGATAAGTCACTTATTTTAATCTTAAATTTCTCATCTGCAAAGCGGTAACAATGGTCCTCACCTTAAAGGAGAAACTGCATAAGAAATCTTTTTGCCACAATGGTTTTCAAGTGAAACCTTCATAAGAGTGTATGTCAGTGATACCTTAATAAAAAAAAAAAGAAAGAAATCTTTTTGCCAAGTACTATCCTAATATAATAAAGGAACATTATTAAAAATGTTTTTAGTGAGAGAAAAGGGGAATGCTTATTGAGATCTTGCGGCTTCCACAAAAGTAATTTAATTAGCATCCTCTAAGATAAAATCGCTCAAGTGCTTAAAGCCATGCCATCTCATTGAATCTGTTCCCTAACCACATGGAGATGCTCACGGAAAGTGCTGCCCACAGGCAGGAGCCATCGTGTGGCAGGGGCCCGTCCTCACCTTTGGGAGCCATCCTCCACCCTAGCCTGCCTGTAACTCCTAGCTCTTGGGCAGGAAAGCGACCCAGAAAAGCTCACTCAGCATTCTTCATCCCCCTGATTTGTTTAGGGCTCAGGGATTTGGACCAAGAAGGACCAAACTGAGGACTTCCCTGAGCTGTTGCTGATAATACTGGGGAAAAAAAGACCTTCATTTCCCCCAGAAGTGCCAGCTGCTAGAACCACATACCCAGAGCTACTTCTGGCCATCTCTGACACCAGGTGAGGGGACCTGTCTGATAAGGCCAACACAGAGAGGCTGGCAAACAGGGTAACCAACTCATTCCAGTTTGCCTGGGACTTCTCTGGTTTTAGTGCTGAAACTCCCCCTGCAGACCTGGGCAAACAGGGATAGTTGGTCACCCACGGAGAGACAACCTGGCAAGGAGACAGCTCTATTGTTTTACCCCGTGATCCAGCTACACATGGAGCCCCTTTGTGAGCACCTCACTTCTGTGACCCAGTAAGTTCTGGTGTCTGGGGAAGCAACTTTGTATTGCGTTTCTGTCACTGCGACTCAAGAGTCCTCACACACTCCCAAAGAACGTGCACATGATAAATTCAAGTCAAAGTTTAAAAAGCTAAATAAATCGATGTAGGAAACATGCTATTTTTAGACTTGAAAAATGAGGAAATGTGCTCATGTGGTCACTTCTGAGGTTGAGATAATTTATTTGACAAAGGAACTCTAAAAAATATATACAGAAAGGGAAAAGGAAGAGAGGGAAATGAAAACACTCCATGGAAGAAAAACACTATGGCATGAGAAAGGTCAGGGTGATGCACGAGAAAAATTCAAAAGGACAAACTTACGCAGTGAGGGAAAAGCAGCGGCCAAAGCCGTAGCTCATGGTAGCTTGGCTCTCACATTAGGGATGGACCACCCTGAAGAGGGGCATGGAGGCACCATAGCTGTGCAAATGGCCTGCGAAAAAAATTAGCCAGGCAGCAGTTTCTGCAGATGCTAAACCATTTCACAAGACTTAAAGCAAAACTCTCAGTGGCCTGTGGCAGTCCCTCTGGGGCAGGAAGACAGAAGAAAATGCTATAGGAATCACCAGAAAACCTAGAGAAAATGGGCTTTCCTTAGGTGACATGTAGAACTGATTGCAAAGATGTGAGAAATCAGGAAAGGTAAGCAAAGCACGCCCCAGAACTCAGGGTTAGCTACCGCCACCAAAGCCCAGCATTCTGTAGGGTGAGTGGGAGAAATGTGTGCCCCTGAGGCCTCTTTTGAGCATAGGGCCAGAAGGGAGAGATCGTGACAATCTGTCTGCACAGAAGCCACCCGGATGGTGTGCCAGCCACCCGGGATGGTGTTCCTACTGGCCTCCCCTGACGAAGCAGATGAGATAGGTCCCCCAGGGGATTCTTTCTGACCTATCCCAGGGTCATTTCTAATTTTAACACAGTATGGAAGAAACCAAAGGGTTGAAAACCAAGAGAGAAGTCATTTTTCTCAATAAAAAGACAACATGAAAAAAAATAAGGCAGTGTAAAGATCTGTGATGAAGTGCTCCCTCTACGAATGTGCTTTCTGTTGAGTCTCACCAATTTTAAACTATTTTCACTTTGTTTTCTGATATCATCTAATTATAGGGGACTAATCATTTTCTTGTGGGTGTTTTGGGGAACGTGATATGCCTGTGCAGGGTCTTCCTAACAGAAGCACTTTAATTTAGGATGTTTAGGAGAAAGAGAGACAGTTAAGTTTGAGGGAAGAAAGGGACACTATCTGCACTTGCACGTTTGCAAAAAAATTATAAGCACATATGTGTTTACATTTTTTTCACTGCAGGACTTTTCCCCTTCAAATAGGACACTGAAAATAGAAGAGCTGATTTGGTTAAAGGTTGTCTGGTAATAAAGAACCAGATTCACACACCAAATCTGAAATTACAAAGAGTGCTCAAGTGTTAAACTCCTGGAGTAACTGAGTGTGTAATTGAATTTTGCATTGCCTTTAAAGATGGAGACAGCCAAGTTTTCTCTGAATTACTTGTAATTTGGGAAGTCCCCCACCTACAGGCAGGATTTCCTTCTGCTTTCTCCCTGAGCCAGGATGCCCTCCAGAGTCTAAGAAAGGAAGGAGGCAACCCCAGGAAATGCCACCCTACCCTGAAAAGCAGACTCAGACCCCACAGACCGTTGACCTGGGCTGAGCTCACCTTCCTCTCTGGAGACATGCTCTTGGTGGACCGCTCAACCTCCAGTTTCCATAGGGGAAATGGGGTTCCACTGGCCAAGGCGACTGGAAGCCCAGACACACCAATGTTTCAGCCTTTCTACAAATTCCTCACAGCTACACACTAGCTGTTGACGTGCTTCTGGACATGTTTTGCAAAGAAAGACGTGTGTAGGAAGAAAAGGGTCTTCCGACCTGGGCCCTCATTTTGTAGCTGGGGAGATTTGAGGCTCCAAGAGGTTATGCGCTGTGCATGGGTCAGGCCGGCACAGGGAGAGGGCAGAGCCAGTGTGCCACACCACAAACCAAGAGCAAAAATGGTTTTCTCTCCTGCACCTACCTAGACAACATTCTTGATTTCCCGCATTGCATCTCTGGCAAGGGCTGGAAAGGGAAGGAGACTAAGAAAAAACAAGGAAGAGTGAAAGATTAATTTTCCCTTGATTTTCTTATATTGATTTGTCATTTATAAGACTGACCATCCTTCTGTCAAAATAATCACAGACATTTAACACCAACCCAAACCCATGTTTTTCTGGTTTGGAAAGCAATGATTGAGGCTTTTACTAAGTTATGAAATGCCTTCATCTCAGTACTTCATCTAAGACACCACGTGGCTAGGGCCAAATCCAAAGGGATTAGTGAAAATAGAAAGGGAATAAATATTTAAATATGAAAATCAGCCTCTCAGTACCTAATGCTCCCAAATTCTACACCAATGATGGGAACAACAGAGGGAACGTTGAAAGATGGGTCCGTAGGGAGAGGAAGGTCAGGGAGAGAGAGCACGGCAGGTGGTAAGCCCTGTTCACCAGGCGAAGTTGCCGTGGGATTCAGAGACCAAACACGGTATTTTCCAGAGAATGCTGGCATGTTTATCGCCCAGGAGGCCCTGCCCTGCAGCCGGAGAGCACCTAGTTGTTTCCAACTTGGCAGTCCCCCAGCAACCAGAACAATGACTGCTTTTCTCTGGCTATAATAATGCTGTCGGGTTCATCACAGATCCATTTTGTATTTTTTCATTGAGTCCAAAGCATGCTGTTTTCCTTCAGAGGAAATCCTATCATGTTTTGTAGAGTTTTTAAAATAAGTGACTGGGTCCGTTAGGAAAGGTAGAAATGTTTTGATGAGAAAAAAAAGGAGTTTCTCTTAGAATTTCATTATTTATCTGCAGTAAAATGTGTTTAAAAAAAACAACTACACATAGGATAGGTACATGCATGAATCCTCATACTTCTCAGCTCGCCAGGTGGTAGGGAGACAACTGCGATGCCATAGGAAAGCCTCATGCTTTGCCATGCATCATTTCACTCACTCATTCATTCATCCAGCTAATGTAGTTATTGAGTATTTACTTGTGTTGTAAACATTGAAGATGGATTAACTGGATAGAAAATGGCCCCAACTTCACTGGCAGAGGCCATAAACAAACCCATCCAAACAAGTAAATAAGATCATTCCACACAGTGATAAACTCTGAAAGAGTAACAGGGTGGGGTGGTCAGCTCCGCTTCTCCTGTGAAGGCCTGGGGTGCGCAGGAGGATGGCTGAGCCAAAAACCCTTCGGGAAGAGCAAGTTTGACAAATTTAGGGGCAAGAAAGAATATCAGTGGGATTAAGAATCATAATACCTATTGTGGTAAAGATGTTTAAGATGAAGAATGCCCAAGACATGATAAACTGAAAAACCATACCACTGAGAGGTATTATTTGGCCATGCTAGAAAATCATTCCGCATTTGGAAAGAATCTGGGTGAGAACCATAGGTCTCAGTTTTCATCTTCCACTTCTAATAAAAAAAAAAGGAGCAAGCTCTTAAAAAGCCCTGTCAAGCACAGCATATCATTATCACATGAAATACAGAATTTCACATACCTGGAATCCTATTGAGTGTCACCCAGAAATGTTCATCAGGGCTGAAAGTATCTTTGGACCACTGGAGCAAATCAACAGCCCGTGGGTCATGGAGGACAAAGTTGGTGAATTCTCTAGATAGAGCAACATAGGCAGAGCCAAAGTAAATGGTGAGATTGTGCGGAGGAGGTGGTTTCAAAGCTGTGGTTCTGATCACATAGGAAACCTCTTTGCCCAGGTGCTCTCGATGGACATACTTGGTGCGTCCAATGGCGTGAGCTGGGGGCAGCACCCCCGGCGTGATGTTTTTCCCCTTGAATCCTTTCAGATACTGCACTATTTCCTTGTTGGTTTTCAGGGGGAAATCTTGCCCACAGGTGTTGAGGGCGTACTTCCACGGAACCTCCGAGGCTGCGAGATCTCTGAGGCAGTTCAGGTCAGCCTGGAGTCTGGAAATCCCACCATAGACAACTGGCTCCATCCTGGAAGCCAGGAACGCATTTGGGAAGCAGCTCAGCAATCGTTCCACTGCATCTTTAAATTCGACCGTCGCCTTTTCATCCACATGAACACAGTAGACGTTCTGGGGCATGTAAATAGCTCTTAAGAGCCTTTCAAAGGTGTCGAAATTGTGATGGATGACCATTATATATGCCAAAGGAAATTCAGCCTCTTCTTTGGATAAAGGGGCCGTGATATAGTGGCTTTGGGTCAGGTATTCCTTGCAAGAAGACTGCTCGTAGATGGTTAGTTTGTTTTTCCACAGGAAAGGTGTTTTGCCTTTGATAAAGGATGTGCAGACTTCAGTCAGCATCAAAGTGTCCGAGTTATTTAGCCTCTGGAAGCTTTGCTCTCCCCCAAATCTGAACACATAGAGCGCGATAAAAATGATGACACACGAGACAGAGACTATAAAGAGGTAGCGCATCGAAGAAGGCATGCCTCAAAGACGAGCGAGAGTTCCAAGACCGTCAAAATCTGAAAGTCCTTTCCCAGACTTACTTTTTCCTCTGAGTTCTTATTTTGGTACATACTCCAGTCATTCCAACCCCGAAGCAGACGCTGCGGATTTACTCCGTTTCATCCCGGGAGTCCAGCTGCGGGCTCTCTCCCCATGCTGACACTACCGACCGATCCGCCTCGCCTCTGCCGCTCTCCGACCGCCTTTGTCTCTCTCCCAGCAGCAGGTTGCTGGAGCCCAGCCTCTCCCCCTCCCTCTGCCTCCCCGCTGGCATCTGCTAGCTGTTTCACTAGAACTCTGGTAACTTCTTTTCCCCTGCAGATTTCATTTCCCAGATCTCTTTTCTTTCATTTCCCGTGCCCCCAGCCCCAGACCCTTGTTATTGTCATTCAGGCAATTAGCGCAGTAAAAGCTGAAGTTGAAATGCTGTGTTCTGGGAGGCGGTGCCTTTCCTGCTGGTCGTCTGTCGGGCAGGCACACCCCGTCCTCTTGTTGCTGCCAGCAGTGGTCCACAACCGGCCCCTCGGCTCTTCCAGTACGATCTGCAGGATATAACGTAGCCTCCATTCTCAAATACGCTGCCTTAATGATAAAATGACCGGGGTGACAAGATCTAAAAGAAAACCTCGTCCATTCTGGCTCCTTTGTAAAGCTTTCGGCCCCGCCCTACTCTTTTCTAAAACAAGAGATTACTGGAGTTCCAGTCCCAGGGCATTTGAAACTGCCGGGATCCTGGTCCTGCGACTTTGAGATGAGGGTGACAGCCCCTTTCTCAAAGCCCATGTCCGGCATCCACTGTAGTGTCTGTCCTAGCATGCTGAGGCACATAAACAAGTCCTGAAGCTATATCCCTTGATTTAGAGGAGACCTTAAAATTTCATTGCAAAGAACCTGAATCCTGACCACAGAAGGTGTTCTGGTTAGGGCACTGCGGGGCCATTCAGGTCTTCACCATTCAGAGAACATCAGCTAATACTCAGAGAAGTGCTTTACACCTGCCCAGGTAAGCCTATTAAGCCAACAACATAAATGTTGTTTCCCACTATCTGTAAATAGTAGTGTTTTGGCTAAAGAGCGTCAGGCTTTTACTTAGATGTTCCTATCTCCAACCTTTCACTTTTCCATCAGTTATTTTTTTAACATAGATGAATGTATTTTACTTAAAAGGACTTCTAAAACACCAGTTCAACTACTGAATGCCTTCCCACTTCTCACTATCTGAAATCAACACCTCAGGCCCTCCACCCTATATCATTAATACATAGAGGACACTGAGCTTCCACCCACCCCCTGAAGAAATAATGCTCTCTAAATGCTCTTTCTCTCCTTCCTTTTGAAAGTCTCAACCCCGCTATTAATGGAATTCACTGGACAATGTGCTGATTCCTTGCTTCCAGCATGGGTAGGAAAACCGAGGGTGCCCCGCCATGATTCAAGGCACCCCACCCCAACTACATGCCACACCACATTCTGAGCACTCTGTACTTTTTCATCCTTCTACTTTTATTGCTCCGACTTTTCATTCTTCTGGCTTGGACATTATTTTCCTCTCTCCCTTACTAAATTCTCCATTCTCGAAGAGAATGTTAACAAATAAACTCTCTGGAACCCAACTGTGAATTTTTAGGCAAAGTAGAAAAAACAAACGTAGCCATGATGTGGAGATCACGCTAATCCTCAGTGTCTTCCGTGGAACAGAAGCACATAAAATGATGGGAAATTCAGGATAATAGAAAATTTAATCCCAAATTTTAATCTTGGGATTAAAATATTAAAAAATACCCTATTTCAAAACTACCAAGTAATTTTGGTATCTAATTTGACAAAGCCTCTTGGGTTAGAATGAATATTAAAATATTTGCAGTTTGACAAAATGTTCAGTGTGTAGACACAAATTAGGCCAACAGAAGCTGTTTAGATTATTATTTCCAACTGGCCAGTAACATAGGGGTTTAGATTTATGCAGGCTTAGGGGACAGACATTAATAATGTTACTATATTAAGAAATACAGACACTGGCCAAATTAGGAAGTGCCATAATACTTCTGCATTCAACCCATCAGTTCAAAGGACATTGTTTGTGTGTTGGAAATATGGGACTTTTGCTTTCCCTGTCCTTTTGGCTGTCCTTGGACTAACTTCCTTCACCCTTGGGTTCTGGCATTGAAAAAAATCCCTACAGGAGAACTTGTTAAAAAAAAATAAACTTGTTGCAATAGGGAAAGGCTGCTGTGCCTGTCACCTTTGCTTCCTAATAGGCCACATGGCTTGCTTATCCAGAAAAGGCAGCATGCATTTTTTTGCTGCTGAATCTGAACATCTCAGCCTTCCCTACTTGCCTCTGGCTGCAGGCAAGAACGAGGTTGACATTTACGGGCCTAGCAATGCCACCTTGCCTCTCACTTTGGAAGTAAATATTCCCTAACTGGACAATTGATCAGACTAGACATGGCCCTCCGCTGGGATCACCTTAAAATCTTGCTCTTTATGCCATTCTGAAGTCTTTATATTTTTTGAACATTATTTATGAATTTCTCCAATTATGGTGCTATCTAGAACACAGCTCCAAAATGAAGAGACTATCCTTTATTTGAAATGAAGGAAGACTCAGGACCTCAGTGAAATAAAGAAATCATCTAATGGGGGAAAGAATGTCCTCCAACCCCTCGGCCCCTCTAGGCTTCCCCGTGTGATGGGGCAAAGTGGCCCCTGCCTGACCCTACAAGTCCTGGAGAAGGATGAGTCAAGATAGCAGCACAACAGAGTCCACTACATGCCGGGCTGGGTCAGACGGTGAGGGAGGCAGCAGCTGCAGTGAAAGACCTTGAATGCTGTTGTGCTGAAAACTTTGGGCTTCATCTTGGGAGCAGCACCAATGACTGGAGGCAGACGAGCACCCCCAGGAAGTGCGTGTTATCTGGAGGAGGAGCACGCGCAATATAAAAAATGGTGTGAAACCAGTAAGGATGGCCAGCATCGAAAAGACTAAGAACAACAAATGCTGGCGAGGATGTGGAGAAAGGGGAACCCTACTACACTGCTGGTGGGAATGTAAGCTAGTTCAACCATGTGGAAAGCAGTATGGAGGCTCCTCAAAAAACTAAAAACAGAAATACCATTTGACCTGGGAACTCCACTCCTTGGAATTTACCCAAAGAATACAACTTTTCAGATTCAAAAAGACCTATGCACCCCTACGTTTATTGCAGCACTATTTACAACAGCCAAGAAATGGAAGCAACCTAAGTGTCCATCAGTAGATGAATGGATAAAGAAGAGGTGGTACATATACACAATGGAATACTATTCAGCCGTAAGAAAGAAACAAACCCTACCATTTGTAACAACATGGATGGAGCTGGAGGATATCATGCTCAGTAAAATAAGCCAGGTGGAGAAAGACAAGTACCAAACGATTTCCCTTATTTGTGGAGTATAACGAAGCAAAACTGAAGGAACAAAATAGCAGCAGACTCAGAGACTCCAAGAAGGGATTAGTGGTTACCAAAGGGGACTGCTGTGGGAGGGTGGGTGGGGAGGAAAGGAGAAGGGGACTGAGGGGTAGTATGTTTAGTACACATAGTGTGGGGGATCACGGGGAAAACAGTGTAGCACAGAGAAGGCAAATAGTGAATCTGTGGCATCTTACTACACTGATGGACAGTGACTGCATTGTGGTATGGGTGGAGACTTGATAATATGGGTAAATGTAGTAATCACATTGTTTTTTCATGTGAAACCGTAAGAGTGTATTCAATAATACCTTAATAAAAATTTTTTTAAATGGTGTGAAAGTACATGTCAGCCCATATATGCATCACATACACATTAACAATGATACTAAATGCAAATAAAGCCTCTTAAACTATGAGCTGAAGGTGCTGGCTACATCTTAATAACAATGTTTCCTAGAAACAAGTCCAAGGCTTTAACCAGGCTTTAGGCCTGAAGAAATTCACAGACCATCACTTACTGTGCTTTTGAGATTTTTCTTAAACAAGGACAGATAGGGGAAGGATTTAAAGTCCCAGGGTCGCTACGGAATTCACGGACCGGAAATTAGTGGGAAGTCCTGGCTTAGTTTTCATTCCCTCAATTTTGTATTGCAGAAATACATTCATTACCTTATTTATATTTATTTACCTGTTTGTATGTGTTGAATGAACCAATGGAAGGTGGCACTGCTGCACCCCCCCGCCCCCCTGCCACAGATACAGTTGCCCATACGTACATGTGCTCTTAACTAGAATTGGGAACAGAGCAACTGGTATCTTTTACTTTGACAAGCAAAAACTGACCAGGATGATGACCAGATAGATTAAATAACATTTTAAAAAATGTGACTTTTAATCAAATTTCTGGGGGAAACCATGCAAGATGTGTTTTCTCTTGTGAGTCACAGAAGGGTTGCCATTAACTGCCACAATATTATTAACAGGGCATCGTGCAAAAATCAGGATACCTGGATTCTAGTCACTTTTCTACTTTAACTGGTTATGTGATCGTAGGCCCCTAGTGCCTCATCTTTAAAAAGAGTGTTCTTTACAGATCTTTCAGCTAAAATGAGCTATAGTTCAGTATGTGTAAAGTGAACCCACTAAGTAACAGTGATGGAATTCAGGCCATGTGAACTGTGGCTCCTGTGCCGTAGGACAGTGTATCTTCACTAGGATTCAAACTACAAAACCAGCAAAACCAAGAAGACTATGGATCAGTTCCAAGCAGGAGGATGTCCACTGTTACAGGAACTCAGAGAAAAAGTTCCCTGGCAGCTGGGATGCTTGGGAAGAGCTTCCAACGGGTGGATTCAGATCCTCCGAGCACAGAGAAGGCATTCCCGTTGGAGAAATTATAAGAGCAAGCAAGAATACAAAAACAAGAAAGCTCAGTGTGGAGAAATTCCTGGGATGAGTTGTGAATCTAAAACTTCTCTGGTGTGGCAGCAGATAAAAACCTTCAAATCTGTGAACCACGGTCTCAGGACCTGAGGTGATTGGCAGGTGAGCTGCAGGGGCAGAGGGAGTTTTGCCCCCTGTTACACTACAGCACACACTGTGTTCAACACCAGGTAAATGGGTCCAGAATCATCTGGGCACTCGAAAAGTGCAATTTTCAAAAGAAGTGTTGAGAGAGAGCCTGACATGACTTTTTTCTTTGAAGCCGATTGGCAGTTACCAGGAGGTGTGGTTTCTCTGGACCAGCCGCGCTGTCTCCCTTCCCATTAGC